ATGATAGAAAGATAAATAGAGTGAAAATCGTGGTGTGATTATGATTACGCCTTCATCAATAATTCTTTTAGTGGAGACAAAAAAAATATCGAGATTACACTTGTAGAAGTATATGACTTGGATATATACTATGTCAGTTGCTTTACATTGCTGAATTTTCATGTAGTGGAGTGGGATTTGCAACAAAAAGATATATGGGTGGGATCATCTTTGTTTCCTGCTCGGCTTCATAATTCAGTAGATGTTGAGCCATCAACAAGCCAATGCTTCAAGTTTCGGGGACAAAAAATGATTTTAGTGTTGTGACGACATGGCCCCGTTCGCTTCGCTGGAAAAAAAAAACCAAGCCGAAACACTGTTCTGTCTGATTTGCCGTGAGAGAAAAACACTGTTCCGGCTGAAAAAAAACAAGCTGAAAAGTACGGATTATAAGACAAGCGAACAGAGCCGGTACCGATGAGAACGATACATCATACTGACACACACTCCATTCTTTACTGTCAACGATCTGTGTTGCCAAACTACTAGTATTTCTTCTTCGAACAAAGAAGTGATTACATAGATTGAGGAAGACAGGAAGTATAGCACGCTTGGAAATGGCTTACACTAACCAAAGATTACACCACAGTGATATAACATCGTCGCACATTCCCGTGTCAAGCCACAGACAGGAAACAACGACATAGCGAGGTCCGTTCCATCTCAGGTGAGTGCCAATGCCACGGCGTTGGTCCCATGTCCCTGCACGAACCTCATCCAGTACCAGTGCTTCACCCAGATGGTGCCCATGGACTCGAGCGGCACCCCCTTGGTCTCCGGCAGGAAGACCGCGACGAAGACGGTCATGACGGCGACCCAGGCAGCGTAGTAGGCGAAGGTGGCGTACATGAAACGGCAAAGCATGGCGAGGAACGACTGCAACTGCACGAAGGCGAGGGCCAAGATGATGGACACGTTCATGGCCTGCCCCAGCGACCGGATGTCCACGGGGAATATCTCGCTGGGCACCACCCACACCAGCGGCCCCCACGACGCCCTGAACCCGGCGCTGTGCAGGCATGTCAGCACCACCACCGCCACCGCGTACGGCCACGCCATCGTCGCCTCCCCTCTCTTGCCGAGCTGCGTGCCCATGATCCAAGCGATGGCAGCCTTCAAGGATCAAGAGCCGTCAGCGGCCGGGAACTTGTCAGATTTGACTGAAGACCCAGCGAGTTGATGAAATAAAGCACCTGACCTGGCAAACTGTATACTTGATTGTGTCATACATCCATAGAGCACATTTTTTAGATACCACTCCTACTCTTTAAGCTAGAGTTATATTCCTTTTTAGACAACACATTAGGATGGAGCGAGTACACAACAAGTATACAACCGGCTCCAATTTTTAGGGGATTATACAACCGGCTCCTGGCATCGCATTCACAACGGCAGGCCAATCTCAGTAAGCCCAAGTGCGCCCGGCCCAACAAAAAAGAAACATGCAGGCCCCATCGAGCCAAGCCCATAGCAAAGATGCCCACTAGTGGATCCCAAGTTCCTCACGACAGTGCAACTCACGAATTTTTTTTGTAAAATAATATTTTTAATGAATATTTGCAACTGTAGCATTTGAGTAAAAGGAATTGGCCGGGCAGGTACCTGTCGGCCTTCCAGAAGCCGACAGGCTCGTTGAATGGGAAATTTCGGACGGGAGACGCGCGCCGTTGGGAACACACGCAACTGCAGCAGGCGACGACAGCGCAGGCTAGGGCCAAGGCCGAGCAGGGAGAGGAGGACGCGGCCGGCGGCACTGCGGAAGACGCCGGGTAGTGCTTCGTGTCCCGCCCCTGCTGTTGCTGGCGCTCCCTAGGCCATGCCGGCGGCGGGCTGCCTTCGTGGCGCCGCTCCCGTGCTCCAATGTATGCAATAGCATGCGCCATGGAGCGGCGGCGAGGCCCCGGTCGATCCGACGGTAGCGCGGTGGGAATGCCAATGGCCCGCTGACGCGACCAGACTTACTTCATCGGAGAGAGCGGATTGGGTCCTATCTACAACTGAGAAGATCTCCGTGCATGCCGACGGCAATGGGACCGCAAGCCCACTTCCTCCAGGGCCCCGGTACGTAATCAACAGGAAGGAGAAGGATCTGTTTTCAAAATGCAATTTTGATTTGATTCATCTTCAGGCAGACGTGTTATCGATTCTCTGAATTTCTGATTGCCATTTGTGCAGGTGGTAAGCATTTTTCCATATCACACGTACAGGATGACATTCTAGCCGAGTTTCATGCTCAGATGGATCTTCAAGCTAAAGATCTGTTGCTGCCCTTCCAGTGTTTGTGCTGCATGAAAGGGGTATGCACCGTCACCACCTTTCCTTTCCTTGTGATTGAACACAGTGTTCAGTTGTTGTTTTTTTCTGCGTGTATGAATTTTAGGGAAAGGCAATGCAGGCCAATCTCAGTAAGCCCAAGTGCGCCCGGCCCAACAAAAAAGAAACATGGAGGCCCCATCGAGCCAAGCCCATAGCAAACATGCCCACTAGTGGTACCCAAGTTCCTCGCGACAGTGCAACTCACGAATTTATTTTTTAAAATAATATTTTTTAATGAATATTTGCAACTGTAGCATTTGATTAAAAGGAATTGGCCTAGCAGCCTTCCAGAAGCCGACGGGCCCATAGACCTGGAAATTTCGGACGGGAGACGCGCGCCGATGGATTCCCGCGCCGAACGGTGCCAAGGCGGGCGCGTCGTACAGTTTCTTCTCGCGTCGTACTGGGCTTTCTCAGTTTTATAGCAATTGGGGGTTGTTGTTGACAAATTTTCTAAGGCTAATTTGGAAAGCATGGATGCTAAGAACCTGTTTGAATCTGGAAAGGTAAATTACGTAGTTCTCTGTTGTATGCTAGACTTAGTTTTCATCTGGTGTTTAACTTACAGATAGTCGATGTTCTGCTTATTTTTCATTGATGTTCAACTTATGTATAATGTTTTTCATTGATATCTAACATTGAACTATGCTTTTGTATTATTCATTGATATTCTTTTATGATAAATGAAATATTGTCTGTATAATATTTTTCCAAATTTTATCAGTCTAATTTGGCAACCAAGGAGGCTGACAAATATGTTGCTTCTACCCAATCTGAAGGACCTTCTCTTGATCCTGGAGAGGTACATCAGTGTGTTCTATCCTGCACTTATGATATTTTTAAAACTTTAGTGGAGTTATTGATATGTTCTTAGAAGCTTCCATCTGATGTTCAAGTACCTTAGAGCAGATGTTCACTGTTTTATTATTTCATATTCTTTGATTTTTCTCTTAAGATAAATCAAATATCACTTGCATAATGTTGTTGTCAAATTTTCTCAGACACATTTCGCAAGCAAGGAGGATGAGAAATCTGTTGGCCCTACTCAATCTGAACCACCTCCTCTTAAATCTGTAAAGGTACATGATGGTTGTGTATGATCTAGTTATGATATTCTTTTTAAAATTTGAAACTGTTCTTGGCAATTTCTAATTCTCTGTTTCCATCTATAGTATGTTTTCAAGTATCTTTCTCATAACAAAGATGAGAAAGATGAAGGAGCTTCTAATATACTCCATGTTATATTTTAACATTGAGCTATGCTTTTGTATTATTCATTGATATTCTCTTATGATAAATGAAATATTGTCTGTATAATGTTTTTCCAAATTACTTCTATACTATTGTTTCTCAGGTTTCAAATTTCCAAACAAGTTGCAAAGTATCTGGTATATTTGACAGGCCATTACTTAACTATGAGAAGAAGTTCCCCGAATGTCCTCAACAGTCTAACAAGTAATGCATTGCTAAAATTGTATTGCTTCCTGTAACATTATGTTTTCTATATCTATATTATAATTCCATATTCTTTTTTTCCCTTTTTTTCCAGTTTTAACTGTGGCCTATATGTCATGATGTTTGTTGAATATTTTGATGGTAGAACTGTCAAGAAATTTAACCCTGTAAGTTTTTCCCTTCGTTTTGAATTTTTACTTGTGCCTTATTGCTTAGTTTAATTTAGTCTAATATATTTTTCTCAATCGTGATAGGGTGATGTTACTGAGTTTCACAAGGTTGTTTCTTATAAACTGATCAATGACCCGAACAATCAAGTTGTCATCGCAAATTTCTAAGCTTAGATCATTTCTCCTTTTATATATTAGAGAGTAGAGATGACAACTGTTGTAAATCTCATGTGTCCCTTGTTGAACAATATTTCTATACTCTTATACTGAATGTTTCTGTATGAAGTGCTTGTTGTAAATCAGTGTGGACAAATGTATATATGTGTTGGTTTGATCTACTTGCTTCTGGTTTTGGTTGACTGAAATGTTCAACTAGGAGGTTGTTGATGTTCTGCGATATATTTCAGTTGGTAAATCTTCTTAAGCTGCTAATTTTAAATTCTACTCACCTTCTGAGAAATGTGATGTTCACCATCTGCATTATGGTCTTCTGCTACAAAAAATGAGCTGTTATGCCAAGAATTATGTTTTGTTCTCAAATATTCCATTTCGTGTTCAACTAGCTTACAATTTATGTTCTTTTGTATTACTCTTTTTATTATATTCTCCTATAATAAGTGAAATTTTATTTGATATATTATTTTCATTGTGCTTTTTGGTGTCATACCTAGCTTTTAAATTCTCAAAGAATAAATGGTTCTATAATTATGAAATCTAGTTCATTTTGACGCACTTTTTTTCTATTCTATAATTTTAAAGATATCTTGTCGGCCCATTTTCTTACAGCAGTTGGAGCGACTGGTTCCCGGAAACCATCACTGCCGACCAGTCGGATGGAAACCGTCCGCTGGCCCCTCCGCGCCCATGCCGAATGGAACGGTTCCTTTTTTTTCGGCCCACTTCTCTGTCGCGCGCTTCCTGAACGGTTGCTTCTTTTCTGTAGGCCCAATAAGTACTCACCGGTTCCTTCTATTTCTCTTCCCGTCTCATAAACCATCTTTTCTGTGGCGTTTCTCAGTGATGGCGGTTCTGGAGCGGGGGGCCACAGAGCGGTGGTTCTGGAGCGCCGGCCTTTGTTCTCGCGCGGCGGCAGTTCTAGAGCGGTGGCCGAGCGGTGGAGCGGTGGCGTTCGAACACGAGCGGGTTTTCTGGAGAGGCGCATCTCGAGCAGCGAAGGTCGCCGGGGAGGACTCTGTAGCGGCGAAGGTGAGAAACGGCGACTTGTTGGTTTCTTCCCCTCGTACTCTTATTCTTTAAATTGGAGCTGTATTTGTGCGATTTGTGTTGATGGGACATTGGCATTAATTTGGTTAATGTTTGCAAGCATTAGTCTTCCTGTGTTTTTCTTGTTATTTTGGTTTGTGGAAACCCTAATTGAATTGTATGAAATGTATGTACAATTCCACTCCAGAACCTCTTGCTGATTTTGTTTCTAAAATTTTGACTTCATGTGTATGCACCCTAACCTGAATTGTATGTACCATGTGTATGGTATTTTTTTAGTTATTCATTTATGATTTTACCATTCCCCTGTTCTTAGTTATTGATGTTTGGTTATGATAAATTCATTGTTTGCTCAGTATGGCCATCATGTTTTGTGAATTAGATGTTTCTGTGTTAAGAGATTATACATTTGATTAGATGTTCTCTTAATAATAAGTTGTTGTTCTGTTTTGCATAATGACATGTTCTTGTTATAGGTAATATGATCTTTTTGTTGGTATTGATGCTGCAGTGTTCATTTTCTATAGTTTATTTTCTGTATGTTCATCTTTTATTGGCCAGATTACATTTTCATATTTTTTAGTGTTAATACATTTCATCTTCAACTTGATGTTCAATCTGCAGTGTTACGTTTATGGAAATTTTTGTATAGCTGGATACTTTTCATGGTCTTGTGATATATAATATGTTCTTTTATTGTGCTTTCGCTTTCATATAGGTGATATTCTTGTGTTGCACTCTTGATGTTCTATAGTTTATTCTTTGATGTTCTTATGTTCCCATAGTATCTATCTGATGTTCAAGTAGCTTATACATGATGTTCTATGTATCATCCTTTCTTATTATCTTATTATCTCACAGCATACCTTTGCTATTGGTGATGAAGGAGAGAAAAGTTCTTCTGATGATGGTTCTATTCCTCCTCCTGCTCCTTTTGATGTAAGGTTTTCATATGTAATAATTCTTCTATATGCAGAACTTCACATACAGTTTGTCTAATATTAATTACATTTTACTTTTTTCTCATAGTTTCCGGCATGTATTGAACCTATAGTTCGGAATCATTATGATCAATTACTCTCTGATGTGACTTCTACACTTGTTTTAGCTGAATCTTCATCAGTTTCGCTTCCAGAACTATTGGTACCAATATTTTCAAAATGTTTGGCATCCCTCTCTTCTGATGTGTTTAAATTTGGATCATCTTTTGCTGCTACTACATCTGTCCCAGAAAGTAATTTTGCTGCACAACCCAGATGTACATCTAGAAGGGCGGGCCTGGTGCAAGCGGTAGAGTCTTACTACCTGTGAGCGGAAGGTCTCGGGTTCGAGTCATGGTCTCCTCGCATTGCACAGGCGAGGGTAAGGCTTGCCACTGACACCCTTCCCCAGACCCCGCTCAGAGCGGGAGCTCTCTACACTGGGTACGCCCTAACCGAGATGTACATCTCCTCAAGAACAGGTATCTTTTTGTTTTCTTCATTGACAGTCTCTTATGATATATGACAAATTGTTTGGATAATTGTTTGCATGATGATATTGAGGGTACATGATGCTGTTGTATGTGCACTTATGATATTTTAAATCTGGAACAGGTGTAGTTTGTTTGAACTGATGTTCTTCTGTTCCTTAACTGATGTTCTCATAAGTTGCTACCTTATGTTCAAGTAGCTTAGAACAGATGTTTTGTGTATTATTATTTGATATTCTTTGAACATAAATGAAATATTACATTGCTAATGTTATTGTCAAATTTTCTCAGACTAATTTTGAAACCATGGAGGCTGAGAAATCTGTTAGTCCTAGTCAATCTGAACCAAGTCCTATTCAACCTATAAAGGTACATCATGGTTTTGTATGCTGCAGTTCTTGGTAATTCATACTTCTATGTTTTCAATTATAGTATGTTTTTCTGTTCATATCATTCTCAGAACAATGAGATAGAAGAAGGAGGTTCTAAAGGTTCTGAAAACTTTGATGGTGATTATCGAAGCAAAGACGCTGATACTTCTTCAAATACTGTTCATGATCCCTTGGCTAATGTATCTGCTGATGTTCCTGATTCATCCCAAACTGTGAAGGTGTATATTTCAATTAGGTGTTGAAAAAACTAGTTTTCCTAAACTACCACATAGTTGTTATTCAAATGCTTACTCTAGTTCAACTTCCTTTGTGGTTCAACTACCTTTCAACTGATGTTCTTGTTCTCCTTAGCTAATGTTCTCACAAGTTTCTACCTGTTGTTTCAACCTCTCAACTGATCTTCTTCTACTCCTCAACTGATGTTCTCATAAGCTTGTAGCTGATGTTCAAGTAGCTTAGAACTAATGTTGTCTTCATTATTATTTGATATACTTTTAACATAAATGAAATATAACTTTGGTAATGTTGTTGTCAAATTTTCACAGAATATTTTGGAAAGCATGAAGGCTAAGAAATCTGTTGGTCCTAGTCAATCTGAACCAAGTCCTATTCAACCTGTAAAGGTAGACCATGGTTTTCTATGCTGCAATTTTGATATTTTTTGAAATTATTATCAAACCGTTCTTGGTAATTTAAAATTTCAATTTTGTTGTTGGTATCTTTTGTTTTTCAAATGTTCTCAGGCTGATTTGGCAAGCAAGGAAGCTCACAAATAAGTGGATTCTACTCAATCTCAGGAACCCTCTCTTGATCCTAGAATGGTATGTCATGCTGTTGCATGCTGGAGTGTTTCATATTTTTCTATAGGATGCTAGGCTGTGTTGATGAAAAATTACTTATGCTAAACTATTAGATAGTTGATATTGAAATCCTTACTCTTGTGCTGCTAATTTTTGAAATCTACTAATCTGTGACATGTGGTGTTCACCTTTTACATATCTGATGTTCTTGATAGTATTTTGTAATGTTCTATTATAACAAATGAGTTGTGCTTCTGTTTTTATTATTTCGTGTTCTCACAAGTTTCCATTTGTTGTTCAAGTACCTGATGTTCTTTGTATTATTTTCTTATGATGAATGAAATGTTGTTTGGATAATCCTTTCCAGTATTTGGAGAATGTTGTTGGCAAATTATCTGAAACTATTGGAAAATTATCTGAACATAACTGGGGAAACGAGGATGATACCAATGTTTCAAAAACTAAAAGTGTGAAGGTATATTCAATGTGTTTTATACTTTATGATGATCCATTTTCCTCACAGTTTCAATCTCATGTTCAACTACCTATTTTTTTTCTATTCTTGTCTTTCAGTAATTTTGTGTTTCTAATTATAGTATGTTTTTTGTTTCTATCATTCTCAGAACATTGATGATGATGCTTTGAAATCTGTTGATCATGACAAAGATCAAGAAGATTCTAAAGGTTCTGAAAGCAATGATGATGATTTGGTATAGCCTCCTACATTCTATTAAAATTAATTATTCTTTGATATTGTATTACTATGTCCTAATGCTCTTCCTTTTATGATGCTAATTCTCTTTTGAAATATGATAGTTGTGATGTTCACCTTCTTGTAATATGATGTTCTGAATAGTATTACGTGATGTTCTCTTATGAAATGAACTGTGCTTCTGTTATTACAATCAGATGTTGAACTATGTTAGATTTTATGTTCTTTGTATTACTCTTATGTTAAATGAAATATTATTTGAAAATTTTTCTCAGACTAATTTGGGAAACAAGCTTGCTGACAAATCTGTGAGATGTAATTCACCTGAACCAACTTCTCTTCATAGTGGAAAGGTACATGAACCTCTTGTATCCAGCAGTTATGATATTTTTCTAAATCATCACACCATTCTTGTCATTTTGTTTTGCTATTATTCTCAGAGTAATGATGATGAGACAGATGAAGTCCACTCTCATGCTTTAGCTGGTATTACAATAGCAATGTCTTATGCTGAGACTACTCCTATTAAGTCTGTAGATTGTTTGAATTCTAAAAATTCTGAGTCTACAATTTCTGGTAAATCTTTCTCATTATTATATTATTTTCATTCTTGTTTTTTTTACTTTCAATGTAACTCTTTTCATAGTATTTTTGTCAGAGTTTGCATGTGTTGTTCTATTAGGACACAGTTGATGTTCTGTTTTCTATCGTATGATGTTCTCTTATCATTGATACCCACTTGTTTATTTTTTCTTATTGTAGTTTCAAAGAAGTGTACTCATTCTAGCCTTATTGAGAAGAATAAAAGGAAGAAAAGTGCTGCTAAGATGCCTGACAATTCCATTACAATTAAAGCACCTCGCTTTGTGTCAACTATTTATAATAAATACATTCAAAGTGATTTTATGGAAGGCAAGGATTTTGGAGAATCGTAAGTATCTTCTTATGAATAAATCATTCATTAATGTTTTCTTCCATTTGTTGAATCATCTATTAATTTACTATTTTTTGTAGGCCTGCTTTTGTTATCATTTCTGGTTGCACATATGAAGCTCTGCGGAATTCATTGAAGCCTAGAGGCCGTATAATTGATGATGTGATGTCTGTTTTTTGTCAGTCATTTAATTTGAGGAGTAAATCATCCAGTGATAGCAGGATCTCGAGGGCCAAGTTATGTTTTTCTCCATTCTTACACAAGCCGAGAAAACCCCCGAACCCCGGCCCCGGCCCGACACTGGGAGACGTAACCCGTGAGATGGGCCGTCTCCTTTAAACCAGTGCTTTGGCACCCGGGACTGGCGAGGGGATTTTTTTTAACCCCCAGCCCGAAATTCGCTCCTACTAGGAGTCGAACTCAGGACCTAGAGGGTGCCGCCGGAGTGACTAGCATATCTCAATTAACCAACTGGACTAGCCATCCTTTGGCCTTCTTCTTACGTATAATGCCTTGGGGGGCGGCTTGCCCCTCGCAGGTCGAGTTTTTTTTCTCCATTCTTAGCGGTAAGTTTTTTTTTATAACATCTAATTGTAACTTTTTGTGTATGAATTATGTTGGTGAATATTTGTTTTATCTACTAACTTTATAGAAAAAGCTTGTTCAAAGTACTCAAAACTTTGATCCTGAACGTGTGAAAAGAGAACTCTTGCGGATTAATAAGGATTACATTATTGTGAAAGCTGATCTTGTACGTTAAACTTTGATTAATACTTGTATAATATCTTTTAAATATGTTACTATTGCAAATCTTAACAACTTTGTTTCTTATTTTGCAGCTGTTTTTTCCAATTTGTGATAATAAACATTGGTTTTGTGGCAGAACCTCCTAAGAAATCGGGTCCACATGCACCTATCAATGTCTCAACAGACCTCTGATAGTGTACACAAGTTTCCAACAACTTAACAGGTTTGTCTGGTATCCTCGGGAAACCCGAATCATCCACGAATCTTTTCCAAACAGGATCCCAATCACAGTCATTGTAGATTATAACAGTTTTCAATATACATACCAGAGATTATAAAGCGGAAGACTTAAGTTTTAATATTACAAACCAGTTGTTTCAAACTTACAAAACTATAAGTGTCATACAACCATAGTAGCGGGATAATATTACATTAACATTATTTATTTCACACAAACTAGTGCCTTGTCCAAAGGTCATTCATCATTTCTCATCGTCATCGACTTCAAACACTGACATGCAACAGGGACCAAAACAAGCCTCAGCATGCAACTCACCCGCAACAAGGGTTAATAAACCCCAGTACAAAAGTACTCAACAAGACCCGACCGACGTAAGGGTTAGGGATGCACAAACCACAGTACAAAAGTAAGTTCTTTGCCAAAAGCTCTAACAAAGTTTTACCCCTAAGTCCTTTTAGTTCATTATTTCAAACTAAGTGTTCATATCCCATATTCCAATCCTTCTCAAAAAGTTTTAGTAATTCACCAATTAATGGTCTCCATATCCATGAGCACCTTAATTGGTCCCAAACTGGGATTCCTTATCACACGAGGTAGAACTTAATCTTGCATATATCAACCTCGCTCTGGATTTAAAGTTCTTTGCCAAAAGCTAACTACACACTTTTCATCACTTTTATTTTCTTAAGTTTTACCCCTAAGTCCTTTTCTAGTTCATTATTTCAAACTAAGTGTTCAAGATAAGTCACCCGACTATCTCTAGTTTATTCTATCTTCTATTTCTTTGGCCAGAATTGTATCGAAACTTTTACTTTGAAAGCCTCATTCCTAAGCATTCTACGCCTCCTAAATGAAGTCATCTCAAGAATGGTAAACAGCTAACAAGGTAGGCAATGCATCAAGTAGGTAACATTTGAATAAATCAACTTAATGCAATAGGTAACATAGGTGATAAACTTTTCAAAGTAAACAAGGTAATGGTTTAATGCATAAACCGGGCTTGCCTTCGTTGGATTTATTTCCGGTTCCGGATCAAGACCACAATTATTGAATCCGTGACAACCGGGGATTCTTCCACAACTTGCTCAACTAGAATCGTTTCACCTCGGATTCTACACGAAATAATAACATATGCTTCAATATGATGATAATCATGATGTTTCTGTCAACATGAATAGAATTTTCACTCTCGGATTCTACGACCTAAATAATAACATATGCTTCAATATGATGATAATGTAAACATGATGCTTTCATGGTACATGAAATGTAATCACACCTTGAATACAACTTTCCTTCGCGATACAGTTGCAAGTCAACAAAATTACTTGACACTAACATCTAGGGTTTATGACCTAAGCGACTTGACCAAATTGATCTTGAAACCCTACTAGTCACACAACATGACCCAAACAAGATCAAACCCTAACCCTAACAATTAGGGTTTGCTTTTATTCAATTTTGAATTAATTCAGAAATAAGCCCAAAAGTAAACTTGTTCCAAATGACCTCAAAATTTTATGTAAGCTTCCTCATAACAAATTAGTGTACCAAAATAAATTTCATAATTTTTGGAGCTATACAGTGACCTACAAAAATTATGGAAATTGCATTTATCAATTAATTGACAGAATTTTTTAACATTAAAAATTTATTCAAAATTCAAGTTTCAAATTTTTAAACCACAATAGAACATGTACAGAAGCTACACACAAATTTTCAGAATTTTTGGAGCTATGATTATTTTCCTACAAATTTCCAAAGATTCAGCACTATTCAAAATCAGAAAATATCAAAGTACACTATTCTCTCTCTCTCACTGACAGCCGGCCCCCACATGTCATCCCTATCCTCTGTCATTGACCGTGGCATCGACGGCGCTGACCGGCGCTAACTCGCCGCCGGTGAGCCCAACAACGACGGCCAAAGTACCAACACGTTCACAAGAACTAGACGCGTCGATCCGTGGTACTTTGGAGGTTGATTACGACATGGAACAAGGTGGACGCCGCCATGGCGACGAAGAATGTACACGGCAGCGTTCGCCCGGCGAAACAAGGCCCGTAACGGTGAAACAGAGAGTTCAGAAGCATCGGCTGGCCACCCCAATGTGTTGAAGCAACAAGCGAGACCGAGGAGCTTGACGCTATTTCTGACCGGATCACGGCGGAACGGACCTACGACGGCGTTACGATGGTTGGAATAAGTACTGCATGACGGTAGAGTCAACAAGATAGGGCAACACATTTGTACCACGGTGAGTCGAGTTTTGTCGTGTTCGGCGTCAATTGGTAGCAACAGCTCGGTCGGATGCGCAAGAGCAAGAGAAACTAGGAAATGGCTTTTTCGGGCTATCTTGCGGCGAGGAGACGAGAGAGAAGCTCGCGGAGTTGAGACGGCGGCGTGTAAAAAGAGAGAAGGAAAGAAAAGCCAACGTGTGGTTCTATAGCTCGGCCAGAGCTTGAATGGACACGCACAGGTTGTGCTCCAATACTGGGTTAAGGGCGGTCATTCGCTGAAAGACAGAAAGGACGGCTGGCATGTTGGGGCGGTGGCGCCCTGTTGCCAACTTGATTTTTGAAGTATTTACATATTTGCCACTGAGTTCATTTTACAAATTACTCTCAATTTTTCTAAAGAAGTTGAAAATCTCCAAAAATGAAAGTTGTTCAACTTTTCAAACTCTACAACTTTGCTTCAAGGCACATTTCCAAATTCTGCCCCCATTTTGAAATTTGAATTTAGGGTGCATTTGAGTATTTGAATCATTTCAAAATTACTCCAAATTTTATATGTAAACTGAAAAACTTTGAATACCAAAGTTGATCCTTATTAACTAAGCTTCAACTTTGCTTTTTGTCACAACCCCAAATTCCAAATGGATTTTAAAATAGACATCAAAAGGACCTTTATAATTGGAATTTGAATTCAATTTTGATTTGTTTACCTTTTGACTTAACTTTGATTTTTGACCAGTAACATGGTCCATTAGGGTTATTTGAGTCAATTAACACATGGTCTCACATGATCACATGAATTTTGACTCTTGTGGTCATGATCTTTATTTAGGGTTTTGAATCACATCACATAAAATAACAACATTATGAAATAAAGCTTATTTAGTGAATGCATTCAACATTTTCTACTTTATGAATGCTTTGCAATGCATATGATGACATGTCAAATTTTAATGATAGGTCAAAACACCAGAGGTGTTACAAGTTTCTTGTTTGTGTTAATTTACTACACAAGGAAATCAACTTTTTTCATCTACTAGTTCTCCGGCTGGTGATGTCAGAAATACTTTCCTTACTAATGTGGTACATTTATTTTCTTCTTAATACTTTCTTTGTTTTGTTTTTTGCATTTCTGTGTTCTTTTTCAACTCCCTGTGTTCTCACAGTTTACATGTGATGTTCAGCTATCATAGTAGTGGTTCAATGTTAACTAGTACAACTGTTTTGTCTCAGGTTTCAAATTTCCAAAGAAGTTGTCAGGTAGCTGAAATATTTGTCAGGCCATTACTTGACTATGCCAAGAAGTTTCCTCAATGTCCTCAGCAGTGTAACAAGTAATTAATTATTAATATTACACTGCTTCTTTTTACATCAAGTTTTCTATATTTTAATTCCATATTATATCCTTTTGTTGCAGTTTTGACTGTAGCCTTTATGTCATGTTGTTTGTTGAACATTTTGATGGGAGAATTCTTATGAAATTTAAGAGTGTAAGTTCTCGTCTCTCTTTTTGTTTTTTACTACTTTCATTGTTACTATTTTCTTTAATGCATTCACCATAAAAAAACTGTTCTCATAAATTCTTTGTTTAATCTTTACAGACTGATGTTACTCAGTTTCGCAAGGTTATATCACATAGACTGATCTACAATGAGAAGAATGAGGTCGAGATTTCAAAATTTGATGCTTAGATCAGTTTTTATCTGCTGCAGTAAAGATGTCAGAAGTGTTGTAAATAACATTTGTACCTTCCAGAATTGTCATTTCTATACTCTTATTATACTAAATGTTTCTACATGGAAGACTTGTAATTCATTGTGCACAATTGTGTGTTGTGCTGTCAGCTACTATAGCTACAAGTTGTGCGTGTAATAGAAAAGTCAGACAAATGTGAAATTTGTACAAGTTAATGCAGTTGTATGCTTACATAATGTGAGTAAATCATTTTATATGATGTTCATCTTGTCTATTTAATCTTTAGCATTATTTTCAAATTAGGAGATATGTATAACTGAAGATTCATCAACCCCTTTTTTTTTTTGCTCTCGCTTTCTTTGTATATAATATAATGTTAGAACATCGAAGTTTCCTAGGTAGAACATTGAATTTTGCTATGTAGAACATTGTAGTTTGATACTTAGGACTTCAAAATTTCCTAGATGAAACATTCAATTTATTTCTCTGCCAGAGCAACTTGACGTTTCACAGTTTAATATATAGCGTTCTTTGCAATATTCCCTATTATCTTTTTTTCTACTGAGTCTCGTGATCTGTTCAAACAAACCTTATTCCAAAGGCAAAGTTCTTATAAAATTAACTTTCTATATAAATGTATCGAGAAATTATATTTTCTAAATAGTTATACTATTCTTCTATTATACGTATTCATTTTTTCATAATTTTTGTACTATTAACCTTGTTTTTTCGCATTTTTCCAAATTCCATAAAATTCATATACTTATGCAGAACATGAGAATCACTTTTTGAGAACATCAACTTTACTTACTTAGAACATTAGAATTTAGCATAAAAAATTAATTTCATAACATCAAATTTTACAATATTGCCCCTACGTTATGTTGTTCTCAACCATTCATTTATTGCAAGTTCTCCAGTCTTTGCTATACTAATATACGACGGCTGCTGATAAAAAAATATATATACAATGGCGGGCGGCGGCTGCGGCGGCGGCGGTACTCCGTCTGCGGTGGCGGCGGCGGGACTCCGGCTGGCGCGTCTGCTGGACAACGGTTAAGGTGCCTGTGCGTTTGTCCTATCGCCATTGCAGGTGCTTCTATCCCCTTCACCGCTGTGGTTGTCCGCCGGCTATTCTGCTGATTTGATTTGGAAGAAAAGATTTAGGATTCCTCACTTAAATCTGAAAGATTATATCCATGAATCACTCAGCTAGATCTCTATTTTCTCCTTGCCCTTTACGTCGATTCTCAGTTAATCTATTTGTTGTGCTTATTCTATTCATTTTCTGCTGTATTTATTTTGGAATCAATATGTTTTTTGTGTAATGTCCATGAATCACTTAGCTGAATCTCATATACTTTAGTCGAAACCTGATTCTAGCAAATTTACTAGAATGTTTTGTTTAATGTCCTTAAAACTCAAATTTATATATACTTCGATATGTACAGACTGTTCTAGTTGTTTTTCCATAGTCAATATTAAATGCACATTAGCACCTGCTTCCTAATTCAATCAAATATATAATTTTGTTTCACATATTCGTCTAATACTATTTTTACTATAAATTTCCTTAGATATGGCTAACAATGATAATAATGTTGGAATAATAATTGAGAATCATTTCTCATCACATCTCTTGAAGCATGTTGTTGATTCTCTAAGTGATGTTGAGAGAGATTATATTGTCAAATATGGATTTGGAAGTTTTTTGAGCATCAATTCTTTTGATGTCCCTCTTGGTCTTGTTCAATGGATAATTCAGCATACTTATGTTCCCTCTATGGAATTCCGGCATATGAACAAAGTTATTCAGTTCAGTGCTTCTATGATTAATTATGTTATTGGCTTCCCATCTGGAAAAATTTCTCTCTCAACTGTTATTAGTCAGGATTCATCGAGTTCAACCAAGATACTTAAGGAACAATATGTTTCAAATGGAATAACAACAAGACAAGCACTTATGGGCTTACTACTTCATAATGATGATGAGGTTTCTTTCATTCAACAATTTGTTATGTTTTCAATTGCAACTGTCCTATGTCCTGGATTGGGAGATCATGTTAATTTGAATTACCTTAGCTGCATGATAGATGTTTCCAAAATGAACTCCTACAATTGGAATTCTCATGTACTAGATTATTTGGGTTCAGAAATTCTAAAATTTCAGTCCTATATAGATTCATATGATGCAGCATATCCTTCAACAAAATTCAATGTTTGTGGCTGTCTTACTCTTTTAGCTGTAAGTATCTTTCATTTTGTTTTCACTCTTTTTTATTTTTCATATTACCTTTTGTAACTAATTCCTTTTTCCCTTTTAGATTGTCTACATGGATTTCTTAGAAATCAATTTAAGTGATTCCAGTTATGAACTTTCTCATGGAATTCCTCGAGCTTCTTCTGTTTCTACAGAAGATTTCAATCTAATTCAGTCTGTTGACCGGAATCAAGCTTACCAACAACATCAAGTCTATGGATTATCAAAGGTTTTATAAGAGATTCATGTTTTTTTCATCAATGTTCTGTTTTTTATTTCTCGGTGTTCTGCTACAATAAATGTGATGTTCTGGTAGTATAGACATGATGTTCTGATTCAATAAATGTGATGTTCAGTGTGGTTTTTTCTTCATGTTCTGGTACAAATTTTTTGATTCATTGCTAATATATTTTTTCCTCAACAAACATCCTTTTTCAGTTGCTTCCAATCTCTCTAACACCTTACTACTCAATTGCAAATATATCAGACTATCCAGTTTCAAGATCTCAAAACAATCACCTTGTAAGCTCTCAGATACCACTTGCAGCATATATAAATATAGTTTCATCCAAATTCTACTCTTGAATTATTTTATATGTTATCAGGGCACAAAAACAATTGGATATTTTTCCACTGCTTTTAAGGCTAGGAGAAACAAGTATATATCTGATCATTCGACATCTACAAAGTTGAGCATAAGTGATGACGTTGAGCACTTATATAGAACATGTCTCCAACAACCTTGAGCAATACCGTCCACATAACTCATATGCAATGTTTTCATTTTACTTAATTATACTTTTTCACTTTTTAGATTTGAAACATTTGTCTTTTACTCATTAATTTCATACCATTTTTTTGCAGCTATGTATTTATTTCAATATTTGGATTCAACTGCTCATACAATAGTTTTAGAGAATCACTTAGAGCTGGTGGAGAAGTCTATGATGACTTCATGATGATTTTCACCCAGCTTTTTAATTCTTCTTACTTGAATGTTGTTGGATGTCATTTGGCTTTGAAAAAAATAACAATTCATCCTTTCTTAGTTGTAAGTTGTTTACTGCTTAACAAAATGTTTTTGCTTCTCCATAGAATTCAGGTCTACATACAAAATTGTAAGATATTCTTTTCTTTATTTGTAGTACAAGTTGGTTGTCTATCTTGATAGAACATTCACAACTGATAGTATTGAAGCAGAGCTATATAGAATTCATTCAGATCTTGATTTCTGCAACTGTGACATGGTAAGTTAATGCTTGAAACCACAAAAGTATATTATAATTCTTCTTTTTACTGATTTCATTTTATTTTCTATAATATTTGCGGTTCTTCCCAGCAAGTCTTAATTATGATTGGTGTGTGATTTGTGTTGATGTATTATTCAAGAATATTATTTTCTATGATCCATCTGGCATGTATACAATAGAGCAAAAAAATTCCATCATCAACAAAATGGTATTTGTTTCAACTATTAATGCAGTATATTGTGTCATACTTTACTTTATCATATTTTCTTTTCTATTTTTTTGCAGGTTGGCAATTTTCTACATTTATGTAACACTGCTGGTATTTTTGATAAAGAAATTACATATTTCAATGTTTTGCATCCAGAACTCCCAATAGCGTCATCAAGAACGTATGGCATTCAAGAATAGTTCATTTTTAAATTAATATTACACATAAACTGTTTGCTAATACTTTTATTTCAGTCATGAGACAGGTATCTTTGGAATGCTATTTATTGAGCTTTATGATGGAAAGCAATTGAGGAAGATTGATCATGTATAGTTTACATATTCATTATATGGTTTTGATATTCATAAACATTTGTGTGATAACTAACTTGATGTTTTTTCCTAATCTACAGACAATTGCATTACAATATAGAAAATTGCTGGCTTACAGTGCTGTAATGTGTCCTTTGAACATTGTTGATTGTTCAAGTTTCTTTATCACAACAGATAGTGATGAAAATTAGAAGGACAATACTTCTTGTCCTAAGGATTGTGTAAGTAATTTTCATTTTTCCTGTACCGCAATTTCATATATTTCTGAGATTTCTTAGTGAAAATTGATATATTGTTCTACAATTTTCTGTTGTGTATGTTTTGATGTTCTACTACAATAAATTTGATGTTCTCGTTCTACAGTTGTGATGTTCAGTGTTCTTTTTTGTCAATGTTTTGTATTTATAAATGAGAAGTTTCAAATTTTCATTTAACTTTACATAATTGATAATTATTTGTTCAATTTACTGTATATAATATTTTTATCATTAGTATGCTTATATTCATATATGTATTAGCTTCATGCATATATTCATTGAATGTTTTTTTCCTATTTTCAGAATTAGTCTTCATGAAGGTTGATCAACAAGTATTATGATGAGGTCAAGATTTGCAAAGCTTAGTTAATGAGAAGATATTTCTGGTTACTAAATGTATTCTATTTATTGGAGATCAAATGGTTCAGTTCTACATATATAAGTGTTGAGTTTTTAATACAAGTATTAGAGATTCACATGTTGTATTTAATCATCATTTACTGTTATACGTGTCATGTTATGTGTGGCATCTGCGTATGTTCTAATACTACAAATCAGACTATATATATTTATTTAAAGAAATACTTTGTTTCATCTGTGTTCATCTATTTTAAAATGTTATCCTGCACATGTGTTGTTTCAACAAAGTACACAACTCATGTTCCACTACATTTATTTACATGTTCTGC